GAGAGAAGCAGAAGGTATACTGGAGCCAGTTGTAACTGAGAACTTCCATAATCTGGGGAAGGAAACAAGCATTCAAGTCCAGGAGGTACAAAGAATCCCCCTCAAAATCAATAAAAATAGGTCAAAACCTCACCATATATAGTAAAGCTTGCAAATCTCAGGGACAAAGAAAATCCTGAAAGCAGCTTGGGACAAGAGGTCCATAACCTACAGGGGTAGAAACATCAGACTGGCAGAAGACCTATTCACAGAGACCTGGTAGTCCAGAAAGCACTGGCATGGTATATTAGGGGTGTTAACTGAGAAAAATATGTAGCCCAGAATGCTTTATCCAGTATGGCTGTCATTCAAAATAGAAGGAGAGATAAAGGACAAACAGAAACCAAAAGAATTTGTGGTCACTAAACCAGCCTTGAAAGAAATATTAAAGGGGATCCTTTAAGCAAAGAGAGCCCAAAAGTAACACAGACAAGAAAGGAACAGAGACAATATACAGAAGCAGTGACTTTACAGGCAATACAATGGCATAATTCATATCTTTCAATAGTTACTCTGAATGTAAATATACTATATGTTCCAATCCAAAGACACGGGTATCAGATTGGATAAAAAAGCAAGACCCATCGAAATGCTGTCTGTAAGAGACTCATTTTAGACCCAAGACATATCCAGATTGAAAGTCAGGGGGAGGAAAATCATATTTTTCTCTAGTGTCTTCTATGCTTTTTCAAGCCCAGCTAGTATCTTTATAATCATTATTCTAAGCTCTAGTTCTGACATCTTACTCCTATCCATAGTGATTAGAACTCTGTCAGTACTGCCTCTTGTTCTCTTTTTTGAGGTGAGTGTTTCCATCTTGTCATTCTGTCCAGAGAATAGATGAACAAGGGAACAAAATACTACAAGGGCAACAAGGCCCGCAGAGAAATATACTCTAAAGAAATCAGAAGAGACCCAAAACTTAAAAAAAAAAAAAAAAATTAAAAAAAAGTTGGGGTAGCAATCCTTATCTCAGACAAATTAGATTTGAAACCAGACTGTAATAAGAGATGAGGAAGGACAAAATATCATAATTAAAGGGTTTATCCAACAAGAAGATCTAATAATTGTAAATATTTATGCCCTAAAGATGGGAACAGCCAAATACATAAACCAACTAATAACAAAATTAAAGAAACACATTGATAATACAGTAATAGTAGGGGACTTTAACACTACACTCACTGCAATAGACAGATCATCTAAGCAGAAGATCAACAAGGAAACAAGGGCTTTGGATAACACACTAGACTAAATGGACTTCACAGATATATTCAGAGCATTCTATCCTAAAACAACAGAATACACATTCTTCTCAAGTGTACATGGAACATGTTCCAGAATAAATCACATATTAACTCACAAATCAGGTCTCATCTGGTACCAAAAGACTGGGATCATTCTTTGCATATTTTCAGACCACAATGCTTTGAAACTGGAACTCATTCACAAGAAAAAATTTGGAAAGAACTCAAATACATGGAGGTTAAAGAGCATCCCACTAAAGAATGAAAGGGTCAACCAGTAATTTAAAGAAGAATTTTTAAAAAGTCATGGAAAGAAATGAAAATGAAAAAACAACTGTTCAAAATCTTTGGGATGCAGCAAAGGTGGTCCTAAGAGAAAGTATATAGCAATACAAGCCTTTCTCAAGAAACAAGAAAGGGCTCAAATATATATCCTAACCTTACACCTAAAGGAGCTGGAGAAAGAACAGCCAATAAAGCCTAAACCCAGCAGAAGAAGAGACATAATAAAGATCAGAACAGAAATCAATGAGATAGAAACCAAAAGAACAGTAGGACAGATCAACAAAACTAGGAGTTGGTTCTTTGATGAAAGAATTAGTAAGTTTGATAAAACCCTGGCCAGACTTATCAAAAAGAAAAGAGAAAGGACCCAAATTAATAAAATCATGTGAAAGAGGAGAGATCACAACCAACTCCCAAGAAATACAAATAATTATAAGAACATATTATGAGGAAGTATATGCCAACAAATTAGGCAATCTGGAAGAAATGGATACATTCCTAGCAACATATAAACTACCAAAAGTGAAACAGAAAGAAAAACCCAACAAACCGAGAAAACCTGAACAAACCCATAACCAATAAGGAAACTGAAGCAGTAATAAAAAATCTCCTAATAAGAGTCCAGGGCCTGATGGCTTCCCAGAGGAATTACGTATTCTTCTGAAGCTGTTTCAAAAAACAGAAATGGAAGGAAACTTCCTCTTTCTATGAGGCCAGCATTTCCTTGATCCCAAAATCAGACAAAACGCCACCCAAAAGGAGGATTACAAACCCATATCCCTGATGAATATGGATGCTAAAATTCTCACCAAGACACTAATCAATAGGATCCAACATTACATTAAAAGGATTATTCACCAAGACCAACTGGGATTTATTCCTGGGCTGCGAGGATGGCTCAACATCTGCAATTTAATCAATGTGATACACTACATTAAGAAAAGAAAAGACAAGAACTATACAATCATCTCAACAGATATAGAAAAAGCATTTGTTGGGGCACCTGGGTGGTTCAGTTGCTTAGGTGGCTGCCTTCGGCTTGAGTCGTGAACCCTGGGTCCTGGGATCGAGCCCCATGTCGAGCTTTCTGCTCAGTGGAGAGCCTGTTTCTCCCTCTCCCTCTGCTTGCCACTCTGCCTACTTGTGCTCTCTATCTATCTCTCTGTCAAATAAATAAATCAAATCTCTCACAGAGCTAGAACAAACAATCCGAAAATTTGTATGGAACCAGAAAAGACCCCAAATAGCCAAAGCAATCTTGAAAAAGAAAACCAAAGCTAGGGCATCACCATTCTGGGCTTCAAGCTCTGCTACAAAGCTGTAATCATCAAGACAGTATGGTACTGGCACAAAAATAGACACAAAGATCAATGGAACAGAACAGAGAACATAGAAATGGGCCCTCAATTCTATGGTCAACTAGCAGGAAAGCTAGTTTGACAAAGCAGGAAAGAATATCCAATGGAAAAGACAGTCTGTTCAACAAATGGTATTTGGAAAATTGGACAGCCATGCGCAGAAGAATGAAACTGGACCATTTCCCTACACCATCCACAAAAATAGACTCAAAGTGGATGAAAGACCTCAATGCGAGACAGGAATCCATCAAAATCCTAAGGAAGAACACAGGCAACAAACTCTGTAACCTTGCCCACAGCAACTTCTTGCTAGACATGTTTCCAAAGATAAGGGCAACAAAGGCAAAAATGAACTATTGGGACTTCAGCAAGATAAAAAGCTTTTGCATAGCAAAAGAAACAGTTGATAAAACCAAAAGACAACTGACAAAATAGGAGAAGATATTTGCAAATTATATATCAGATAAAGGGCTATAATCTGAGAAACAAACTGGGGTGTGGTTGGGTGAGCATGGTGGTGGGTATTATGGAGGGCATGTATTGCATGGAGCACTGGGTGTGGTGCATAAACAAAGAATTTTGGAACACTGAAAAAAAAATTTAATAAATTAAAAAAAATGAACTTATCAAACTCAACACCCAAAGAACAAGTAATCCGATCAAGAAATGGGCAAAAGACATGAACAAACATTTTTCCATAGAAGACATGAAAAAAATGCTCAACATTAGTCGGCATCAGGGAGTACAAATTAAAACCACAATGAAATGCTACCTCACACCAGTCAGAATGGCTAAAGTTAACAAGTCAGGAAAGGACAGATGTTGACAAGCACGCAGAGAAAGGGGAACCCTCTCACACTGTTGGTAGGAATGCAAGCTGGTATAGCCACTCTGGAAAACAATATTGAGGTTCCTCAAAAAGTTGAAAATAGAGGTACCCTATGACCCAGCAATTGCACTACTGGGTATTTACCCCAAAGATACGAATGTCTGATCTGAAGGGGCACCTGTACCCCAATGTTTATAGCAGCAATGTCCACAATAGCCAAACTATGGAAAGAGCTCAGATGTCCATTGACAGATGAATGGATAAAGAAGATGTGGTATATATAGAGAATGGAATACTACTCAGCTATCAAAAAATGAAATCTTGCCATTTGCAATAACACAGATGGAACTAGAGGGATTTCTGCTAAGTGAAATAAGTAAATCAGTAAAAGACAATTAGTATATGCTCTCACTTATATGTGGAATTTAAGAAACAAAGCAGGATCATAGGGGAAGGGAGGGAAAAATAAGACCTAATCAGAGAGGGGAATGGGGAGTTGGAATAACTGGATGATGGGCATTAAGGAGGGCATGTGATGTAATGAGTACTGGGTGTTATATGAACTAATGATCACTGAACTCTACCTCTTAAACTAATAACATACTATGTTAGTTAATTTAAATTAAAAAATCGAGAGACAAAAAATAATAAAATAAGTAAGTGTTAAAAAAGATGTCTTTCTTCCTTTCTTTCTTTCTTTCTTTCTTTCTTTCTTTCTTTCTTTCTTTCTTCTTTCTTTCTTTCTTTCTTTGAAAGGGACAGAGAAAGAATGAGCACAGGAGCAGGAGAGGGGCAGAGGGAGCAGCAGACTCCACCTGCTCCTCTCCCCTAGTAGGGAACCTAACTTGGGTCTTGATCCCAGGACCCTGGGATCATGACCTGAGTCTAAGGCAGGCAGACAGACACTTAAACAATGGAGCCACTGAGGTGCCCCATCTTTCTCTATTTTTGTAATTCTTCCTTTGCTTCTGTAACTCTTTCAGCATATGACAAGTTGAGATACTACAATTATATAGACAAAATGTGAAGCTTGCTACCTGAGGGAATATATCAAATAATATTCTTAACTGTAAAACTAAATAGACATAAACGTTTTCTAAAGTTGCATAAATATAATCATATATTAGAAAATAGTTAAAAAGACATAAGTGATAACATTATTATGAGCAAAAATTATGCTACACTACATTTTTAACAACTGTCTGCCTTTAGAGTTTGTAAATTAAATCTGTAGATACATACCAAATCTGTTTTTGGAGGATCTGGACACTCAGTGGAGAAAAAAGGTGTCGAACTTCTGACGCCACTGCTATCAGGAACTGGCTTTGGAGGTTGAGCATGCTGTCTGTAAGTAGCACTTTTAGGAGTCCAGCAGAACAGGTTGATTGATTCCCGCACACAGCGTTCAATGTCAATTTCTAGATAGGAAATTTTTTTTTAAAAAGCAAACATTTAGAATTTGAATTGGTATGTTCATTAAAAAACACAATCTTTCCTAAATGCATGTATCCAATATGGCTAAGATGATAACCAATTACAAAAGATGTCAGCGAAAATATAGTATAGATATTAATCAGCATATATGATTATAATGGTGGTAGTATTTTGTTATTATATACCTTCATATATATATACATTTACATATGTGAATATATACATATATTTTTATGTGTATTTTGTTATCATCTACATATATACATATACACATATATACATACATATATACATATACACAGTAGACATGTTTGGATTGTTCAGTATATCATTATTTAAACATCATGGACTATAACACATCTTATTTATGAATCTGCCTCATTTACTCTGATAATAGTTTACTTTTTCAAAGTAGAATAGATATTGGGGAATTCATTTTAGAAAAATTCCAATTAATATGGTTAAGATAAAAATTTGAAGCTAAAGTGAGAAACCCTATCATTTAAAACAAAGTTGATCCATTTAACACTGTTAATTTCCAAAGGAAGAGTTTCAGACCATAGGTTTTGCATCTGCAGGGCTCAACTCAGTCTGACAAATCTGTCACCCAGTAAAAGCTTGGTCAAGTCAATGATCCAGATCACAGGTTGTAGTTCAGTTGTTAAATCACTAGCAATAGAAAAGCCAGTTGTATCTGCTTCCAAAACACCCTACCAATACCATAAAAGGTTTACAGTGAATCTTGAGAATTTACTGGCATCACCTCAATTCTACCCTGATGATTAGTACTGGCAGATACCCCATTCTCATTCACTTGACTCATGTCACCACTCCATCTCAAAATCCTTCCAAAGTCCTTTATCATAACCAAAATATTATGCAAAAGTATTTTGTAAACTGTACATCAAAATAGCAATTACTCTTAAAAAGTCATCTCTTATCTTAAGGCACTACTGTTTTTTTAATTTTGCATTATAATTTTGATTAATGCACTATGAATAAATCATGTACCCTGGATTATGGTTTCTAAGGTTTGATTCCAAGCTCCATGAAGAACTTTGTGATTCTGAAAAAAATAACTTCTCTAAATCCTGATTTATCCTCATACATTACTATCATATCTCAGAAAGAGCAAACTATTTCCAAAATAATAAAATACATCTCCTATTTCATTTGGGCCAGAATAGGTGGAAAATACATCTCTTCTGAAGACTTCTGTTCTTTTGCTCTAATGTTTCCAAGATCGAGTGCTTCTAAGATCTAGTGAACAGCTGTTGTCCTGGCACTTCTCTTTACTAGCATCCAATTCCCTTTGGCTCTCCCCTGTATTTGATCCCTAATTTGAGAGACAAGACATTATTTACTCCTTGATTTACTCCATCACTTTGGTGGAACACATTTTCCAGCAGCTTCTATGAAAGGATGTGCAGAAACCAAATTATTTTGAAATCTCCGTGTCTTTTAAAATATTTATTCTGCCTTTGACTAAGAGTTAGAGTAGGCATAGCATTCTAGGGTTGAATTTTTTCAGTTTAGAGTTATGCAAAAATAGTGCTCCATTGTCTTCTGAGAAGGCTGATATGATTCTCAGTTGAAATCATTTGTATGTGATTTTCCTATTTTCTGTAAGCTTTTAGGATCCCCGATGTTCTAAAATTTCATAATGATATATGTAAATATGTTACTTCATTATACAAGGTATTTGGTAGTCCTTTTGTAATCCTCCACCTAACAAAGTTCTTGCTTGATGTCTGCAGTAATTTGTTTTTTTTTCCTTTTCTCTCTTATTAAAAAAAAAATCCTGAACATCCTGAATTTATTTTCTAATAATTTTGCACTTTCTTCACTTTTCATCTGTATTTTTTGTTTTATTTTCTGAGACTTTTCCTAAACTTTATCATCTAACTCTTATTAGAAAGCTCACTGCATTTCCAGATTTTTAATTTCCAGTAAATCTTTTTTGTTCTTTGTTACTTAAAAAAAAAAAATCTGATTTGTCGTAGTTGCAATAACATCTCATAATTATCTTTCTGAGGATATTCCTGTATTCAGCTTGTGTTTGTCTGTGTTTTAGTTGGGGAGATTTTCTTTAGAGGTTTGGCTATCTATGACTCTACCTATTTAAAAGAAGAGCACTAAAAATGAGATTGGAAGTATTGTGTATGTGGCAGGTCTTAGTGACAGGTAGATCCACTACTGGGTAGCTCCAGACATGGTCATTTGTTAGAAGGCTGCTAAGTAAGGTATTTCTCCTCCTGGGGACGTTCTCCCTTTCCAGAGAATAATTCTCTGTCTAAACTAATCTTTGCCAGCATTGGTCCCAGAGAGTTCCAGGGGTTCTAACTACATACATCCCCTCACTTTTGCTCTCTGCTCTATGCTGTTAACTCTGAATTTCAAGATACTTTGGTTCTATTATTCCAAAGAATACCCCTCCAAATTTACTGTTGTTATGGTCTTTTTTTTTTTTTTTGTAAAATTTGCAAAAGTAAAGATATTTGAGCCACAAACAGTGAAGATTTCTGTCTTTATACCAATTTTCCCTCTACTACACTTCATCTTGTGTTAGGCAATATTATAGTGGCTGGGGACACTTTGATATATAACTAGGAATAAACTTTAGGAATAGACAATTAGTTTGGCTTAATGGGATATATTTTTTGTGATTTGAAGTCACTTCAGGATATCAATAAAAGATTTTCTCCTTGAACAAACTCTAGCCAGGTTCCTTTAAGCCCTTTTTTGGCTATGCCTCAACTTTGGCTTATTAACCCTTGAATGAAATACTAGGAAAGTCTTTAATGGTGCAAGGCCACATCCCTAGGATGACTGTACCTCCCACCCCCAATCCTTAAAGTACCTGCCTGAGAAAAGTCAGGTTGCCTATATAATTTATTGTTTGTTCCAGTCAACATCTGAAGATAGGGTCTCTGTCTCCCAGTCTCTGTGGGAAGGTAAAACCTAACTCCAGTAAGTGCCAGTTAGCAATCCTAGATGGGTTTCACAAGGACCAAGGTCCTCCTTCTTACTTTTTGTAATTTTTCACTTTCTTGCATCTTTTAAGCCCCTCCTCACCCCAGTCCCCACCTATTCCCTCATTCTCCCATTAAAATGCCCAGTTACCATTGTATAAATTGTTCACGTTGGACTCTTCTTTATTGTAACAGTATATTACTGATTAAAACTCATCCTTACCACTTTAACTAGTATCTGGCTTTGTTTATGTTTGACAGTACAGTAAAGTTATTGCTCTAGAAATGACTTCCTGAAATATTCCCATCACCCACTATATATGTGCAGAGATTATAATGCAATACGATATGTCCTAGCACCAGAAGTTTATGGGTAGGAGAAAGAGCTGAAATAAACACAGCAAATAATCAGACTTAAAAATTCTTCCAAACTTTAAACATGTAAAGTTGTAAGTAGAGAATCTGGTTCTCACCGATGCCTGATCAAAAGAGAAATACTCTCCTTCTAGGAATATGCTTGACAATGTTATAAGTTAGTAATAAGTGCATCATTAACTTTTTTTTCTCTTATGATAGGATTTTCACAAAATAGCATTTTTGTATTTGTAGGAAAGAAATCTGTAGCACCATGACAAGAGTGTATTACCTGTGTTAAGTCATATGGGATATGTATTCCCACTATCAATAATAAAAAACAAATTTCAACTAACAATGCCAATAGAAAAACTAATAATCTATTTTTTGTATAGAAAATTTGTACAGGGGTGCCTGGGTGGCTCAGTCGTTAAGTGTCTGCCTTTGGCTCAGGGCGTGATCCTAGGGTCCTGGGATCAAGCCCCGCATCGGGCTCCCTGCTCAGCAGGAAGCCTGCTTCTCCCTCTTCCACTCATACTGCTTATGTTCCCTCTCTCACGGTGTCTCTCTCTGTCAAATAAATAAAATCTTAAAAAAAAAAAAGAAAATATGGGCAATTATTGTCATATGAAGAGATCATCATTGAGTATGTAGCAAAAAAGAAGGAAAAAATATAGATGTATCTGACACTTAAAGTTAAAATAGTATATCATTTTTGTTTTGGAATTTGTTATGATCTCCTTACTCATTCTCAATATTGTTTTAAAGGTATAATTTTGTAATGTAATTTAATCTTCTTAGAGAGGGCCACTTCACATTGCTTAGGCTTCAGGCCCACAAAACCTGGATCTTCCCCTATCTTTCAGTCTTCTACTAGGTGGCAGAGGAATAGACCTCTAGTGGCTAGCAAGGTTGATGCAAAGATCTCCAGGGGTGGGAGAAATGAAACTACTCCTTATGGATACATTGAACTCATTCTTCTGGGTTTTTTTTTGTTTTGTTTTGTTTTGTTTTTGTTTTTGTTTTGCCTCATTTTCATTCAGTTTCAATTCCTGAGACTTTCTTGTGCTTTGCATCAAGAACTGGTTTGCTTCTTCCTAGTATTCTCCTTTACAGAGAGGTTTCAATTGTCTTTGCTTTTTATGAAGTGAGCTACTAGTGATGTAACTGTGTTCTATCTTCTCAATTTTTGTTGTGTCTTGTCTACTTATGCTCTCTTACATTCTTTGTTCTTAGAATTATATTTTTTCTTTCCCTTACTGTTTCTCTTTAATGATGTTTCAGAAGGGATTAGAGATAGACCTATATGTACAATCCATAATTCTTAATTGGAAAGTTTTCAAACTTCAAAGCCTCTGGTTTAAAAAGGGTGGGAATGAATTTAGGAGATGAGCATAGTAGGCTTAAAGCCTTGCTCTATTGGTCTAGCTATTGGTCTAGTGGCATTTAAGGTATTTACTGGAAAGTAGTATAATATGGCATATAATATGGCATACTGGAAAGAGCATTAACCTGGGAGGCAGAATGATTTGGGTTTAAATTTCAATTCAATCATTTCCAAGTTGTTGGCCAATCTCATTTTTCTGCCTCTTTTTGCTCAATCATAAAATAGGGATAATATTACTTAAATTCTGGGAGCATTATGAGTTATAAATAAT